AGTTTAAATTTTTATGTTGATAGTTAAATTATCAGGAGATAAATATAATCTAAATCCAATTTAATTTTTTTTATTTCATTTGGATCGGCATGAAACAGAGCTTGACCTGAGGAAATATAGTGTTATGAAAGTGAAAACACTTAAAAAATAACATTATAAAAGGAAGATGAATAATAAAGTTATCGAGCTAAGATGATTGATTTGATTTAAAATGGACTAAAATGACAAAAAATAGTTAATAAAAAAATCATAAACTAAAGATTAATGTCAACTCTAGTATACTTTTATATGATAAAAGCATCTACATATGTATATAAAAGCACTAAAAATAGTTTATGAAAATCTCTTCTAAAGATTCCTAATTTTACTAAAAATTTAAACTATTCTATAATAATTCATAAAACATTATATTTTGTTGCTTCTATTTTTTTTTTTTTTTTGAGTCGAGATCAATCTTTCTTCATCTTTATCTTTTTTCTGGGTAATTCTAGAGTAGTGTCTTTATCATTTACATCGACTGTGATATGCGGCTGGAGCATGTTATCTTTCATTGGGCTCATTCATCTTTTGTCTTCTCGTCTAAATTCATAAATTAGTTGAATATATTTCTTATGTTCAACACAAAATTCTTACAATACGGACTTTGATTGTTTCCTATTTTAATAAGAATAAATGTTAATTTTATATATATAAAATTTTTTATATTCTAATTTATTACTTAAATAAGGTTAGAAGCTACCTCTTTTTTTCTACAATGAATTCTTTTGTTGTGCATCCATAAGAATTTTTGTTGTGTCATAATATTATCTTTGCTTTGTCTGTGTCATTTTCTATGAGGATATGAACTAAATACATTATATTTTTCATTGTCAATTTATTTTAGATTATAATATTAATATTTAATTTTGATATATTTATTTCATGAAGAAAGGATATCACTTAACCTTGGTACTACATCATCGATGATTTTACAACGTTTATCATTTGGACACTTATTATTAACATCCATATCCACTTGCTTGTTGCAGCCTTTGTAAACATAGAACCACGGCTCAACTCTATTATAAATGGTAGCTATTGTTGTATTAAAGGTGTGCTACTGTGTCTGTATATTGGTAAATTATTCTTAGGTTTAACTGTATGAATTTTAGAGTATGTTTCTAAGATCATACCTCTTTCAAATGTTATAATGGTTGTATATATTAGTAATTTGAATTTACGTTGCATTTATAAAGAGCCTTAATGAAGATGCTTTTGTCTTGGCAGCTTACTCTGAAAGCGTGCTGCATATTAGCTTTAAAATATAATATTTTATACGGTGTTATATGTATGTTTGCTTGGTTTACTTACTTTTCTCTTGTTTCTTAAGTAAGTTGTATCTTTGGGTTGATATATATTATTGACGCAATTTACGATGACATGCATATCTCCTCTATAAATTTGAGATAGATATAATGTGAATTTTATATTTAGTGGCCTTTAATAAGAATTTTA